AGGTATGTATCAGATTTCCTGACATTGCATTCAAGACTAAAATCAATCAATAAATTTACCCACACGGAAATATGCTTCCTATTCTATAAGACACAATTGGAAACTGTCTTGCTGCCATTAAGGGTGATGTTTATAGAGAAAGCGCTTATAATTGCTGCAGTGAGGGAATCACTCCTCTAACTCAGGACCACAGTTACTTTTCTTTTCCCTGCTAAGTCCTAACATTTTATGCTTGAAAAAGTATTTTTCCTAAACACAAAGGGAAACTAATAATGGACAAACCAGGAGACCAGAGCACACCTCTAATTCCAAACCACAGTGCCTGGCAGAACTCCAGGTACCTGGGAGCTGCTGTTTCCAAGATCATCTGGATGTGAGTTTTAGATCACGAGATCCACAGAATACATTCCCTCAGTGCTAATTGATTTTATTTCTAATCACAATTCATAAATGTGAAAAGCGAATTTGTTTTCTAGACAACATTTAAATTGAGATTTTTTTTCGGTCGTTATTCCTAATAGAACTTGCCCAAGTCCTCCATCATGAAGGGAGTCTGTGGGATCACACCAAAGATACCTGACTGGCAGTGACTTTTTCTTTCTTCACTTTTCACTTTTCTCTCTTTTTCTCTTTCTCCCCTTCTTTTGGGAGTGCAGGGGATCGATTCCAAAGCTTTGTGTCCCTGGGATTGAGCCATCCCCCTGGTGCCTGGTTTTCTTTGGGTATAAAGAGAATGAATCCTTTCATCTCAGGCCAGCAGGGAGAAGCCAATCATAACCACGCCAAGGCAGGGGCTCTTTCTGGAAACAGGCTGAAGACAGGTTGAGGTTTCCCTGGGGATCAACTCATTTCCTTATTATCTAATCCAAGTATCTAGCTGTTTGGAGGCTGCCTACTTGCACACAGATTCTTTCATCCCCATAGAGGGGTGGACATTTAAAAATCCATATCCTGTCTTGCAATCCTCAGGACATCCGAGTTAACGCAATCTCCTGTTACTGCCAGCTAGCGCGAGGCCAGGTAAAGCAATATCTCCCCTCGCCAGTTTGCAATTTAATTTTGAGAAAATTGTCAATATATATTCTCAGAAAGAGCTCAGCAGAGATCTGTTAAGTTAGTTATTTCATTTTCTTTTGAGTTTGCCATGCTATACAAATACCCTGAGAAAATCCATTCTTCTTGTGGGAAGAGTGGGGTGACAGATGAACCCGAGCCCTTAGGGATTTTGCTTTGTGTTACAAAGTTTGAGAAAATAAAATCTGTGAGCAGAAATCAGAGCTCTGAAAACCCCATTGGGATGTGCTGTTCGCTCAGTACGTCATTTCCCTTTTTAAATATCTTTCAAGTTCTTAATAGAGGCCACTGGTCACCCAAGAAGAGGACCAGTGAGATACTAGATCCAAAGCACTCAGTACTAGCCCACCATATGGGAAGCTGAGTCTGGTGTGGTGACGCTGAACCTAAATCAGGAGGTTCCCTGAGTCTACAGACTGCTAGCTAGTTAAAGGGTCTCAGTGTATCTGTCGTTTGTCCTAGTAGATGATAAAGCCCAAACTGGGAATAATGCATAGCACATATTTATTCCAGTTGGGTTGTTGGTGTTTAATCTGGATTTACCTGTTTGTTCCAGAAACAAGGAGAGGCCCCAGTATTTGCCTTCTCTGTGCGAACCAGACACTAAGGAAGTAGCTCTTCACGGCTCTTCTTCCTTGGCTTCAGCAGATTAAATGTGCTTTGCTTCTGCTTACATTATGTTTCCCGGAGGGCACCTCAGTTTGATTCAGTCGGCCATTTAGATTTTCATTTATAGATCTGAGCTATTACGAAGAGGTCCTAATAACACTTATGTCATTGTAACATATAGTTTGCCATTGCTTTCTTAACAACAAAAAGCCTTTTAAAAAAATGAGAGTATGAGCTTAGATCCTTAATAGCAACCCATGGGATGTTCTAGGGCATTTCCTTACTGCATTGATATTTTAAATCTTGCATTTATTTAAAAATCATTCTCATTTATTTGAGTGGCGTTCTTTTAAAAATTGGATGTTATGGCAACAATAAAACCATTTCACATATGGTTTACATTTATTAGTTAAGTTTATTATACATATTTTGTAGCCATGGAGACAGAGGGACACAGAGGTAAAATGATTTCCCTCAGGATCACAGAGGCAGGAAGTAGTATCAGCTCAGAAACTCCATCTTTGATTCCCAGTCCATGTGTACCTACTATCTGACTGTTTGCAGCTAATATCACACACCACACGGTGCCACTGTTCCAAGGCCAGTTGTTACAGGGATGGAAACATACCAACAATACAGGTGCCCAGTGCTATCCTAAAGAACTCTGTGCTTTTAAAGGCAAAAAAATTGCATTTTTTGGTCCAGCCATTTGGCAAGTATTATTATAAATATATAATTATAACTCTTGTTCATTATCTACACCTAGTTCTTCCTAATCCCATAATATCAAGCATTTATTCTCTTTTCTACATCTTATACCATACCAGTATATATATATATATATTTGTTTATATATATACATATTACTGGCTAGATCTAATAAAATATGAGGTTATGTATTTTTTAACCTAAGAGTGTGTGACCTTGCTTAATATTATACATTCTATGATTGTCAATTTTCCTACAAATTTTGTGGTAACATTTTTTAAAATATGAATAATATTCCATTATATATACACCAAATTTTCCTTATCTATTTATCTGATGATGGACAACTAGGATGATTCTAATCCTTCAATATTGTCAATAAAGCTAATGAGTTTCTGGTTCTAATTGTCATGGCTTTTTCATTTTGGTAGTGGAGAAATGTATAAAATATACTTGATATCAAAAGTATGAAATGTCATGTGGAGTGCCACTGTTTCCATTCTGAATGGCTACCATAACTGCATAGACATTTATTAAGTTGTAAAGTCTATGGGTCTGATTAATTTTAGTGTCTGAATATTTTATTTGCAATGGTTTTTAAAATAACAATTAAAACAATAAATATATAAGTATTTACAAATATGTGATTGCATTTATGTGTGTTTGTGTAGATGTTCAATGTTATGGGTTTGGGAAAATAAATACTTTCATATCCACTTTGGTGAAAATGTAAATTTTCATAAATTTCTTAGGACAGGTGGACAATGAGTAACATCCTAGATGGTGACACTCTCTAGCTCTTAAATTTTCTTGCAAACAATTTTTTCTTAAAGGCAATTGAATTAACTACAGAAGGCATGAAGAGTTTTGCATTGCATGGCTGCTGGAAAAGCAAAAGGAGAGGTATAGGTGGGAAGAGAGGATCCACATACAGGCCATTTAAGGACAATGACATCCACGTTACAGAAGTAGAGACCTGGAGTGCAGAACTTGTTTGGAAATGCCTCTGCCGCATCCAGTTATGATGTGGGATTCCCCTCTGTATGCTATGAATATGTTTTATTACCACTGGTTATTAAAGAAGCCGTTTCAGCCAATGGCTTAGTAGAGTAAAGCCAGGGAGGAAATCTGAACAGAGATAGAGAAATTAGGCGGAGTCAGGGAGACACCTTGTTGCTGCTGAAGGAGAAAGACATTAGCCACCAGCCACACCCTTGTGGCAATACACAGATTAAGAGAAATAGGTTAACTTGAGATGCAAGAGTTAGCTAGAAATATGCATAAGCTATTGGTCAAACAGTGTTGCAATGAATATGGTTTCTGTGTGTGATTATTCGCATCTGAGCAGCAGGGAAACAAAGGAGTGGTCTCCATCTACACTGTTAGCTGGGAACCAGGAGAGATCCATCACTAACAGAAGCATAGCAGCACTATGTATCCACAATTCAGAGGATGAAATGGAAATACAGGGTACATTAGACAACCTGGGGTGTTCTGGGTAACACTTGGTCATGGAATTATTCTTGCTGCCTTTGTACCCATTGGAAAGTATGAGCAAGTCATATGGCATTAATTCCTGTCAGTCATAGTGGGAATGGGCACTAACAATCCAAAAGAGATGCTCATCTGCTACCATGTTGACAACAGAAAGAGTGAAAAGTTCCAAGCCCCCAGATAGCCGAGGCTGGGCCACCAATAGGCCCACACATGCATGGGTGTTGCACCATGGTGCTTTCAAAAATGTATATTACCTCCTAGGAAAGCAATCCACAAAGTGAGAATGCTACAGCACCCCTTTGCTGTCTTCTCCATGCTCCCAAGACGTCAGGAGCCACTTTCCCCAAGATATAAAAGAAACACATAATGGCATACACACAGACGGAGAAAGGGGAGGAAAGTCCCTTTGCATCACGCCATGAGTGACAGACGTTTCCAGGACAGTGGTTTCCGAGTTACTACCTGAAGCCATCTGAGATAGGGGGACATTTTTTTTCCCTCTCAGCTCAAGATCTACAAAGATGGACATTTCCAGAGCACATGTTTTCTTTTGATGAAAACAGATCTGATGGGAACTGACAAAATCCCACAGCTCTAAGCACCTAAAGTGGACTTCGTGATGGGTTAGAAAGACTGAAGCTCCAGGCCCAAGCAGGGGCCTTTGGCAGGGTTCCTGCAGACTGTCCTGAGCCTCGTGGGACTCTGGCCTCCTTATTCTGCAGTCTTGGCCTCTTTGACCGGGTAGTTTTGTAGAGCATGATGGTTCCAAGCAAACATATGGCATTTTCCCAGAAAACGACCGTTCCAAATACACCTGTTCACACTGGGGAGGGAAGAGAGGGGACCCACAGGGATGCCTGAGCTGAGGAGCGCATGCTTCCTCATTTCTGTCTTTTACTCTGTTACTTTCATTTTATTTTTTGCCAGGAACATACATTTAAAAGATTAGTGAAAGCAGTTCATACTGATAAAATGTGTTCTTTTGTTAGTCCCCAGATAAAAGCAGAGCGACTGCCCCTAGCATCTTCAGGGAGGGCACTTATCAAGGTAAACCAAACAACATATTCCCACATAACTGCATGTTGAGAAGAGAAGCGAAATGGTATACTCACACATACAAAACGGATCTGGTGTCCCCCACCTTCCCAGCATCTCCAACTGTCAGGGTGTCGTACCCTCTCTCCAGCTCAAACTCCTCAAAAGCCAGCTTGATGACCTAAATCCAAAGGAAAGACAGAATTAAGAGCACAATACAGACCTTCCATTGGCCATGTACCTTTACAGTTTCATGGTTAGCTTTGACTTCTAAAGTCAGATCGATACCAAACAATTCCTAAGCTGCCTCCAGTTGCTGCAGGAATTCTCGAGGTTTGGTTTGCCTGAGTCTGAGAATTCTGTGGGATTAAAATGTTCTTTTTGTTTCAGTTTACTGTGAGTTTTAAAATGAGATTAACCTGACCTCACTTAATTTGTGTCTACCAACTACAAAGCACAACCCAGGTGATTAAATTAACCAAGAATAAGCCAATGTAAACAGGAAGAAAACCGTTGTTGCTAACGAGGCCTGATTTTAAGGGCACCTTACAATGAATGTTTTTTTTTTTTTATTGAGAATAGGAAAAAAAAAGTTTCCGCCTCCTCCCAGCCTCCCATTTCCCTCCCCCTCCCCCACTCTGAATCTTTTCAAATTTACTTGTGTAGATCTCCTGATACTATTCTCAATAACATAAGAGCTTTCTGAGGCTAAGCTACGATCTAATACTACACTTAGCTGTGCAAAACCTTGAAGTTTCTTCTCTTCGTTTCCCTTTTCTATTTCTGAGAATGGCGCCGAAGGGTGTACCCACACTAGTCAAGTTCTCAATCAATGAAATGCACCATCTGACCCTGATTAGACTATTGGATGGATGGATAGATGGATGGTGTGCAGGTATAAGCAGGAAGGATAGACAGACAGATAGATGGGGAAGAAGGTGGTTAACCAAAAGATAACAAGATGTATTTCCCTATGCTAAAACATAATTCAAAAAGAAACATAACCCTGAGCTAATTTCAGCTGTGGTGTTTAAATAATAATAAAAATGGCACACATATATAATATATACCACAATTAAAGAATATATAGTATATATGTAAAGCATATTTGGATGTGATGACTAACATTTATTAAATACTAGACAGGTTTCTTTTTGACCCACCAATAGACTATAGCTATATGAACTTCCTTCTTTGTAGACCACAGGAAATTTTCTCCTTAGACAAACAAACAAACAAATATTCCCTTTGTTGATCAATATTGCGATCAAGAGGCATGGCGATCAAATCTGTCAGGAACATAGGCTAAGTATTGGATAGCCAGGCATACAAAGAAGATATTAACAGATTATTACAGATGGTAGACAAATATAAATATGGATATATAGATGCAATACACAAATAACAGAGTTATTGGTGATGAAAAGTAAGGGAAATATATGATATATTAGTTAGATAGATAACTGGATAGGTGGAAGACAGATCAGTGAATGGACAGATAGTTAAATGGATGCATAGAAGGATGGACAGATGATAATAAGCAGATTGACAGAAGGATGGGTGGATGGTAGATAGATGCTGGGTGATAAATAAGTAGATTAAAGGGTAGATGGGTGATGATTGGTAAGGTGATAGACAGAGAATGGATGAGTGACAATAAATAAACATATGGATCGATCAGCGGATGACGGATGATAAACGGATCAATGGATGGTACGTACGTGATACATTGAAGTATGGGTGTATGGGCAGATGATGGGAGACGGATAACTGAGTGGACAGATGATAATATAGAAAGAGGCATGGGTGAGTGACAGAGTGGCCCATGGGGGCAGGTGAGGAAGGGGGCAGATGGGAGAGGGAAAACAGGAATTGCACCTTATGACCGAGTGTGAATGCCTTGTAAGAAGAAATCAAATGCTTCCCTGTTAGACTATTTTTATAAAAAGTAAGTGATGCTGGGAGTGAGGTCAGTGTTCCTAAGACTCATAGTGACATGCATAAGCTCTTTAGACGGCTGCTTGTCCCTAGTAAGGCTAATAAGGGATGAATTGTCAATATTATTACAAATTCTTACTAAAATTAGTGACACAGCTATTGCAATTTATTTAAAAAACTATTAATTCAAATTGTGGGGTTTGTATGAATGCATTGTTTGTACTGAAGCAGGTGTGGTGTTGACAGCTGTCACAACGTTCTTTGCATTTTCCAAATTAAAATGAGGACTTTTGGGGCTTCTTGCTTCTATTTTCCTCTCTCCTGACTATAGACTATAGGAAAATAGGGTCTCAGAGTAATGCGGTAAAGAAACCAGGGTGTCACATTCTAGGTTTGTGTTTCCCAAGTGTTTCCTGTACGTCCTATGTAGACACTGATGGCAATCCTTTTCAAGGCTTGCTAAAGTCACTTTAAGTCACTGAGCACATCCCATAGTGTGCTCCCCAGAGAGGCTGAGGATGAACCCAGCTGAGTCCTGAGATTCAAGCACCTGCAGAAGATGGAGAAGTTCCCAAACCCTAGCTGCACAGAGAAGCTGAGATCTTGGCACTAAAGCCAGCCTTAGCAATTCCCCTCTTCCCTGGAGAGGGCACACCGGCTTCTGACTGACTGGTTCAGGGGGAATCTTGTTTTTCTCAATTTCCTTATTTTCTCTGATAAATACTTTCTATTCCCTATCTGTGTTCCAAGAAATCCTTCCACAAGGTAGTTTTCAAATTGGAGAAAGTACTTCATTACCATATAAAATGCCTGTCATGCACCCCATGTAGGGACCCTGGGCTAATTCTTCTGTCTGTGTCTGTGTGCTCATCAGTCTTTGGATTCTTCAGTTCATTAAAAACTTATTATTATTATTATTATGATGATGATGATGTCATATTGTATTATAGAAAGACCATCCTAATGTCTTCATATGAATGACAGGTATGTTTCCTCTTCTTTTTGAATCTATAATGAACATGAATCTGCCACAACTAGGATTGGGAGAGTACCTGCATAAGCTGCTGAGTGAATAGTTTAGAAAACATGGCTATTTCTGTAAATAAACAATGCCATACTCAATAACGTAATACAGAAATCATCTTGCAAATTTATGTAGACGCGTGCATCTGTGGCTCCCTAATACAATGCGTGTGAAAGCTTTCCTGTCTTTTATATAATTGTTCCTTGTAAACTGGAAGACAGGTGCAGTGGTAGCAAACACACAGCAAATCAGAACTTCAAGCCCATTCTTTTTTGAGACCTGAGGGAATCTCAGTAAGTTGTCGGTCAAATCAGAAAATCTACTGCGGATATAGCTATGATATGGGCAGGTCATTAGCAAAGTGACGGTAAAGAGTAGAAATAAAGCTAGTAGTTAATCAAAATTCTTGATGCCCCTCAAAATGCTGGTGGGGCTAAATCACAGACAGCCTGTCTTGAGCGGTAGAGCAGGTTTCTGTCTCCCCCTGGTTCCCACTCAGCATCAGTCATTAGAATGGATGCAGCTGACACTTAGGCAATGTTGTACAGGTGAGGATTTATGAGCAAGCCTATTAGCTTTCCCTGTGTTTACTGTTTGCCTGTATAAGTGCAGCTTTAAGACCTACTACCTCAGTCAGAAGAAAGAGGAAAACTTTACAGTTTTTAAAAACCAATAGAGAAAAATGAAAATCAAAATAAGTCAAAAGAATGTTCTAAACAAGGCAAAACAAAACAAAGTGGCCACAAAAGTACCACTGAGTTTCATCAAAACATATTGCCTAAATATTTTTCAATTAAAAAAATCTTTGTTCAAAACCAAACAAACAAAAAACCCATCAACTGGCAAATAGACGACCGACTCTATTCCGCCAGGGCACTTGGAAGCCTTACATAGTAAGCAGCTATTACTGGTGTTGGCCTTCTAATTTGTTGATCAAAAAGAGGTAAGTTCCTTATTATCTCAAAATACGTTTCACTGTATTTCACTATATACACTGAATAATCCAAACGGAGAGAGCAGCTCTCCAAATTCAGACCAAATACCATTAAAGTGGTGAGAGGACATTGTCCTAGAGACTTGGGAGTGAAGGGGACAGAGAGGGCTAGTGGGGGTAAGAAGAGATGAGGAGGAGGTAGGGAAAGGGAGGATAAGGAATGGCAGAAGAGAAAATGGGAGTGAGGAGGGAAAGTGGGAATCTGTGGAGAGACTTTTCAAAGTGTTGATGACTATAGATATCTATGAGCGGCCAAGAGAAAAACACACTTGTGCCTAATGTTGGGGATGGGACTTTTTCAGGTCTGCTGTGACCTTCTTAGAGGAGGAAAGGTCTTACTTGTTTCCCAGGTCCTAAACACTAAGGGGGAATACATAAGAAACCTTAACTGGAAAAAATAACTTGGAAAGTTGTGTCTCTGACTAAAAAAAAAAAAAAAAAGCTATGATAAAAATTGCCACTGACAGCAAGGAAAGCAATATATGCCGTGCTAGGGTTCCATTTTAATTTTATTGCTTATTTTCATGTCATATTTAATTCTTTTTTTTAAATAATTGATTGCTTTTATTTTTATGTGTATGAATGCTTTGTGTGTATGTGCGTTCATGTGTGTTTGTGAGTGTGTGTATGTGTGTGTATGTACCACATATGTGCCTAGTGCCTATGGAGATAAGAGGGCATTGGATTCCTGGAACAAGAGTTACTGGTGGCTGGGAGTCTGTGTGTGTGTGTGTGTGTGTGTGTGTGTGTGTGTGTGTGTGTACTGAAAACTGAACCCAGGTCCTGTGTGAGATCAGCAAATTTCCTCACTGCTGAGACCTCTCTCTAGCCTCAAAGTACTCTTATTTTTCTAAGGAATATGATTGGGCGGGAAATAATGCTGAAAGAGGGAAGCTAAGCAGGGAAAAATATAATTGTTTAAAATTTTCAAAGATTCTCCTGAAAAAAAAATTTAGTAAAACCCCTACATCTTCAACAACAACAAAAACTCCTGAATGCCTAATTAAGACCTGTGGGTTCGTCCTTCAGCCCAAGGATTAGGTTGAGGGTTTAAGTTACACAAGCAAGGGGCTCTGGGAACCCAAACCTTCCTGTCATCCGATTCATTCAGCTCTAAGTTGTACTGGAAGGAAGTTGTCCATGTGTGAATTTCCTCATGAAAGCTAAACAATCAGCAGCTGGGGATTATTAGCACTGTTGCCAAAAGCCACAGTTTGTGATTTCT